AAGCCTACAAAAGGCCGCCTTCTTCCGGACGGTCCAGATATCCCACTGATTATTTTTCAAAACAAACCTAGACAACACTGGTACCCAGACTGTTAATCCCACAATGTCAAATGACAATGACAGGTTACTGTTAGCACCAGTTTCTCTCATCCTCACTCTCCATCATGTAGCTTGCCATCATGAAGGCTATATGAAGGAAAAATGCTCCAACCTCCCACATTAATCTCCCACATTATTACTTGAAAACAGACTCTGATGTATCATTTTAATAAGCCACAATCTTTCCTTTTTTTTTTTTTCTTCTTCATTTCAAAGCATTTAAAGCCACTACTCCGATCCCCCCAGCCCACCATGGGAGCCTCTCCTCACGCTTCAACTCCACAAAAGTTTTCACACAGATCTGTTCAGGATAAACAATTTAATCACACTTTCAACACTTCTTCCTACAGCTGTTCTTCTTTTGTACTGTGTGGGAATTTGTGCCGAGTGCTGTATCTTATTCTTTACTTTCCAGTAAAGCACTTTGCTTAGTTATTCCCAAACATTCCCTGTTTCCTATTAGCACAAACCCAACACTTCCGAATACTTCATGAAAGATAAAGAAAGCCCTACTCCCCCAAATAGGTATGCATGCACAACATGCCCACCTTCAGCGAGTTCTGAAAACCTGTTTCACTTTTCAGATGCTGCCGTGTGGGATGCACAGCACAGACCCATCCTCCTGTACCTCACAGGGATGTAATGACGAGGATGGAATTTCTGGGCACTCCATCTCTCTCACTGGTCTGAAGCACAAATTCCACTGCAGTTCTAAACCTTCCCACCCAACCTTTCCTACAGGACAGCAAGATGTGCTTCTCACAGGAGACTCCCATGTGTGAGCTGACGTTTGCAGACCAGGGACAGGCAGACGAAGGACAGACCACAGGTCTCGTCAAAGAGCCCTGAAAGCTACAGCTGCACATCAGCTTGCCCAGTTCTTTTCTTTTTCAGTGCACGTAAGCTCTGCGAGACTGAACTCACGTTTTCGTGCTTCATGTGCTTCAGGAGGCGCAGCTCTCGGTAGGCTCTCTTGGCAAGGATCTGGGACTGAAAGGGGCGGTACAGCTTCTTAATGGCCACTTTGGTGCCGCTTCTTCCATCCACAGCGGAGCTTCAGGGGAGCAGAACAGCGCCTTGTGAGTGCGGGCGGAGCGGCACCGCCGCTCTCTGCTGCCTCGCCCTGCCAGCGGCGTGCCCGGCACAGAAAAACGATCCCAAACCAGGCGTCCCGCTCCAGGGTGGAGCCCGGGATGGGGACACGCGCGGCTCGGAGCGCGTTCCCAACCACGCACGGGCGGACCCCCGCTCCCCCGCCCGGCTCTCCGCGGGACGGGGCCGCCCAGGTGCGGGTGGGGCCGGCGCTCCTCAGTCCCCCCGGACCTGGCAGCGCAGCCCGGCTCGGAACGGCAGCCGGAGAAAGTTGGTCGGGAGGAAAGCGAAAGCGCCGCGTCCCGCCGACCCCGGGCTGCGCCCCGCCGAGCCGCCATCTCTGCCGCCCGCGGTCCCGGGGTGCGCCCTCCTCCCCGGGGCAGCCGCATCTCGACCCCTTCCCGCTCACCAGACGGTTCCGTAGGCGCCGGAGCCCACGAGCTGCAGGTCCCGGTAGCGGTCCCGCACTTCCCAGAGAGTTTTGGTGATCTCCTGCCGGTAGAAGCCGTTCTTGGGGGAGGACATAGCGCGCGGCTAATGCCGCCACCTCCAACAAAGAGCCCGGGGGGGAGCGCCGAGCGCCGGGCCGGGCTGAGCGAGCCGAGGGGCCGGGCTTGGCCGCGCTCCCTCCGCGCCTCGCTCCCTCCCTCTCGCCCGCCCCTGCCCCTGCCCCGCTCCCTGCCCCGCTCCCCCGGCAGCGCCGCGCTCCGCTGGGGGCACCGCCCGGCCCGGCGCCCTGCCCGCTCCTGAGCCCCGGCGGGCTGTCCGCGTGGAAAGGCGGCGACCCGGCAGGTGCTGGGCACGGGAGGAACGGTGCGTGGCAGTGCTGCTCCCGGCATTTCCCTCATGCCGCCCGTGCTGCGTACACCGCGTTAGCTCTTCCAGCGGCTCAGCGCCTCCAGCGCTTCTGCTTTCTGCCCCTCTCCCCGCAGCAGCGTGGCCGAAGCCGTGCCGCTGCCTGCGTGGACGGCGAGGGCAGCTCCCTCACAGCGCCGACACGGCGGAGCGAGAAGCTCGGCGAGCTGAGATGCGGCAGTGGCCGCTCAGCCTCGTCCAGCGCCGTGCAGAGAAAAAGGTGTGAGGCTTCTGCTGCACCAAGACACGCTCAAAATCCATCTGTTCCTTATGACTCGCTTGCATGCTGCTGTGTGTTTATGGATCTGGTGGGTGATGTGTGCTTTACTGTCCTGCAAAGCTCAAGATATCTCCCCTGTTCTATGAAATCAGCCTTGGAAATGGGAGGTGGGAGTGGGAGCTGACAGGAGTGTGGATGGATGGCTGCGTGGTGACACCAGGGCTCCGTGCAGGCCCTGTGTGCTGTGCTGGATATTGTGCTGCTGGGGTAAACTGAGAATCCTTACTGTGGAGCTGAGCACAAGCACACCCTGGCCTTCATCTGGGTGTGCGCCCACCATGGGCTTGTTCAGCCTGGAGAAGAGAAGGCTCCGGGGAGACCTTACTGCAGCCTTCCAGAACTTGAAGGGAGCTTATAAATGGGAGGATAAATGACATTTTACACGCTCCGATAGCAATACAACAAGGGGAATGGCTTTAAACTACAAGAGGAGAAATTTAGGTTAGATATTAGAAGGAAATGCTTTACCCAGTGGGCAGTGAGGCACTGGCACAACTGCCTCAAGAAGCTGTGAGTGCCCCATCCCTGGAGGCACTCAGGGCTGGGCTGGATGGGCACCAGAGCTGCTGAGTGGCTCTGCCCATGGCAGGGGATTGGCAGTAGATGGTCTTTGAGATTCCCTCCAACCCATTCTGTGGTTCTGTGGTGTGGCTCTTGCAGTCTTAACTCTTGCGTCAGTGCTTTGGATGTGGTAAAACTCTGCTGACTTTTACACTGAAGTGTTAAGGGATACAAAGTAAAAAATAGAAATGGAAAGAGGAAGAAATGAGAATTACAGTCAGTGGAGAAAAACTGCCTTTAGTTATAATTGTGGAGGCCACTAAAGTATTGTACTGCATCAAATGATATTCTACCAGTAAGCTGGAGCAGAGAAATGCGTGGTGGCTGTGACAAGGAATGGTGCTGCAGTCATAAGGACACGAGCAGAGGTGCCAGCAGCAGCCCTGGGCATGACAGGGACAGCAGCAGGGTGTGGACAGTCCTCCTGCCAGGCTGGGGCTGTGCGACCGCTGCTGCCTGCAGCTCTGCATGCACAGGGGTGTCTGCAGGCAGGAGGCAGTGGATGTGCAAGTGGTCCATGCATCTCTGGAGTGGTACGAAGCGGCTCAAATGGCTGCTAAAATCTTTCATGGTGCTGTATTTCCGCAACAAATTGTTCTGGTCGGCACATTTAAGGCAAAGGCCTTCTTTTTAATATGTTCTATATTTTCTCTGTGCGTATATAACTAGAATTCTTGCCCTTTGTGTGGTCTGACTTCAGCCCTGAGCAATGTTGCTGAGGTTAGGCAATTCAGGCTTGCTGTTGCTAGAGTTCAGTTTGTGGCTTATCTGGAGAGGGGCGATCTGGCCGTGCTGTGTGTCTGCTCAGTTCGGGCGAGCAGCCCTGCCCTCTTCCTCTCACTACTGACGTGTCAGGTACAAACTCACATCCTTCCACCGCACGGGCGATCTCCAGTACTGCTCTCTGCCGATAGGTGACCCGTTTGACTTAGCTATGTTAGTGAGAACAGAAAGCAGCCTTGTGGCACTCGGCAGGTAGTGCTGGGCTTCTGTCAGATCAATTCTACACGTTTGTTTTTCAGATCAACCATCCCAACCATCCCCAATTCGTTTATTAAATTTCCAACATCGCTTTTTTTGCAGTGTTTGACATTCAGATGATGGCTGGATATGGTATGGGCCAGGTGAGAGCTAAACAGCAGTACCTGTTACTGGGTGTTGAGCCTGTCCATTATTTAACATCTAATAGCTTGGATCCATCCACAGCTGGCAAATCTTACAGCAGAGTCACAAAATGCAAAGTCTTGGTGACCTGCTGGGCTTGGTTGGATGGAGTATACGGTATTTTCCTGAAGACAATCTGTTGCAGTCACACTGGTGTGATACTACAGCCATATCTTGGCCTAGGCAGTATTGCTGGGAAGGGCTAATTGAAAAACAAATACTATCATATGTCTTTTTGGCATACTTTTAATGTAAAGATAATGGAAAAAAAGGTTTCTCAGACATCATGAATAAAAGGTAATAAATAATATTACGATGCAAAACACACACTTAATGCCCAACCTGTGAGGGGAACATTGGGAAGGTTGTTACTGTGGAGAAGTTTTTGTTTTGTTTTTTTTTAGCACCTTTCATTGCTGTAAGGTTGCCATCAGCTGCAAAACACGTGGTAAATAGGATGTGTACAGTAGTGTACACGGTACACATGTGTACAGAGATTACACTTTATGATCTCTCCAGGGGCTAATAACTCAGTTCACACTCCAGACAGGACCTGAGACTTCAGTGCTGGAGAAGCAGTTCTGTGAGACGGTAGTAGAGAAGCTAACCACGTCTTCTGCAGAGGAAGAGAAATTGCACAGCCTGGTGAGGGAGCTGCATGATAACTGCTCAGGACAAACTCTCTATTAATGGTGACAAGGTGGCAGTTTGTCAGGGCAGAAGAGCGTGGGCCAACAGCCGGTCCTCTTTTTAAAGTAGTCTGATCTTGCCTATTCGTGTTTGTTGCTGTGGAAGAAGCAAGTCAATTTTCATTTATTGCAAGGAGAAATAAAGCTGAAACAAAAATGTCAGTTTTCCTCTGACAATGTTCCTGTGCTATCGTGTCCACACCCTTCCTCGTGGAGCTGTTGCCAAATGTTTTGCAACTATTCAGAGGTTGTTTCTCTGACCCCTGAACAGGGTGCCTGAATTCCACTGTATGCGGCACAGAGGGGAGCTGCTCAGCCATGCTGTGAGAATGCTCTACAATAAGCTGATAGGAATAGTTAGGTACTATCTAGGTGTTTTTTATTGTTATTTTCTTTGGTTAGGCATTTCATTTGCTCAAGATGTTGAGTGAGGTGTTACAACAGTGTTTCCTGCCCCATTCATCTCTGCATTCTGGAAGTGGGATGGAAGAAGCACAGCCATGTGTAGACATAGCAGATGGGTATGTATAGAACAACTGCTTGCTCTCATGATTCTGTCCCCAGATCCTGCCTAAAGGCCCTCCTCTTCTTACTGATTCCTGCCATAAACTGATGTGTGGGGAGTCTGGGTTTGTGTCTGAATGTGGGGGGTCAGAAGGAAGCAGTGGTGTTTTTAAACTGTCACAGATTATCGTCCCGAGATCCTATTGTGCAGAGGAAAAATTACTCTTGAAGAGTTTTCCGTCTCTGATGCAAAAATCATACAAAAAGGGCATTAATGGATATAGCTGAAAGCATAACCTATTTGTCACTACATAGCTGTGCTATCACCTGCTTATGTCACCACTCTTAGTGCCACTCTTACCCGTGTTTTCCATCACCCTTGATGTTGGGGCCATTTGTTGCTTTTCCATTTCAGCCTGATGGGAAGGCTGGACGGGACACGTTGTGTAGTTTCTGCACAGAGTGAAACATAACTGGGGTTTGTTCTTGGTTTGAGCCTTTGGGCTCTATAACAAAGTGAGTATGAAACAGGAATATATCTTAGTGCTAATCTAGAGGGCATTATTGTATGAGGGGCAAGGTATGGCTCAGTGGAGGCTGCCAGTTATGGCAGGCGTAATGCCTATTTGTCTCATGGCTGCCACTGAGATTCATTATTTACTGCACTCACTATCCTTTGTGATCAATCTGGAGCCTAAAAGGAGCAGCTAAAACCTCTGTACAACTGCACATGTTAATTGGTGACAATAATTGAAGCTGAGGGACTATGCGAGTGCAAAATGAAGCATCTGTATGCATGGAGGATTGAAGCCTAATTGAACAGCTTCGTTCATTATGTAGAGATTTTCTGTATAATAGATTGTTAGAAGATCAGCATTAGTATAGGAAGCTCACAAGATATCCCCTCTTAACTTAGACCTTTTTATGCATATCTGCACTTCATACAGCAGCAGCAAGGTTGATGGCAGCTACATTAATGCAGCTTTCTGACCCTCTTGATACTAGACACATAAAATCCTCGTGCTTTTGTCTTTGCCTACTTACACGGGTCCCATTTAATAGTGCGCATAGCACTCAGAACTGAAAGCCAATCAATGTCAAAGACTGATAAATGAATGCCACTTGGTAGGCAGGCTTTGCAAGAGCATGCTGATTTCCTGAGAAGCAGCTTTCGGGGGCTGCACTGTATCTGCAGACACTGGCAGCATGGTTCATATGCAAGAGAAACGAGCAGCTCCTTCAAAGAGGAGCAGGGGTGCTACCCTTAATTCTTTCCCAGTGAGACTGAGCTTGCCTTGCCTGAATTCCTTTCTGCTACTAACAAAAGAGATAGTTTTATGCAACTTGCAGTGTATTTCTCTTTTAGCAAGAGCTAAATCTTTCCAACTGCTCACGCATTAGGGATTCCTGAGCCATTCCAGCAAAGTTGGAGCTAAGGATGCTAGTTAAGTAGTTCACTGCATTTAAATAGTGTAATTTTTAATAGATTCATCTCTGAGCTGGTTGTGAGTGTTGGAGAGGTGGATGTCTGCATGGTCTTTATTATCCAGGAGCACATGTGACAGGAAGAAGGAAGGAAGTGGCTTTTGTATTGATGCTCCCCACCTCTGCCAAATGTATTTTTTTTGCCAGCATTCTGTCCTTGAAACAGCTGCCCTCCTATTCCTGGGGTGAATGCTCACTCTGTGTCTGACCTTGCAGTGAACTGAACCACCTCTTTTCCTTTCATCTTTTGTGCCAAATAAAAACATACTAAGAGCATTAATGGGAATTCTGCAACAGTGCTGTCTAATTAATAGGTCTTGACCTACTGTTGCATGGTGTTTTTTCATTTACCAGTGTTGATTACCTGGTTTTCTATTTGACCTTTTTTCTACAAGTTTCTAAAACAGTAACTCTGCTGTTTCCTACTTTTGTGGCCACAAGTACTGGGAGGAGGAAATTCTGAGTGTTATGGCAAATGACAGCCTGTTAGGCTGTGCTTTTCCCCTAAACCATCCCCAGTTTTTCTGTCGGTGCATTTGTAAATTAGAAGTGTTGCTGAGGTATCTTAAAAATGAAGATGCAGACTGTAAAAGACATGCAGCCTACACCTGAGCATGTCAAAAGATTGAGCTGCATGGTATAGACTTGTTTTTCCTTTTGCAAGACCTTCTACTTCCAATGACAAAATTACTAGGCTTGGAGTTGCACTTAACACTGATTAGAGTGAGATAATAAATACTAGAGGTAATTTCAGTTTAGTAGGTAGCAAGATAACAAGCTCTAGTGACTGAGAGCAGAAATTAGGTAAATTTAGATTAGAAGTAAATTGCTAACAATGACAGTAATTAACCAGTGAGAGCCCTCAGAGGGTTGTGATGTTTTCCTTCAGTGGAAATGTGAGTAGCTGAGGCACAGCTGTGTTGTTTAGATGTGTTTTGCTGAGAATTAATTCTGTGCTTTACAGGTCAGGGATAACGAGCACCATCAATTATAAGCAGCACCAAAGGCAAATCCTGCCTGACCAACCTCGTGGCCTTCTGTAATGGCATAACTGCATCAGTGGACAGGGGAAGAACCACTGATGGCATCCATCTGGACTTCAGTCAGGCCTCTGACATGGCAGCCCACAGCATCCTTCACTCCAAATTGGAAAGATACAGATTTATGGGTTGTCTATTTGACGAATGAAGAATTGGTTTGCAAGATCATACGCAGAGATTGGTGATCAGTGGTTAATGGTCCGTCTGGATAGCACTGATGAATAGTTTCCCTCAGTACTGATGCTCTTTAATAACTTCATGAATGACATTGAGATGGGGTGCACCCTTGGATGACACCGAGCTGTGTGGTGCAGTCAACATGCCTGAAGGACAGGATGCCTGAGAGTCCTGAACTGGCTTGAGCAGTGAGCCAGAGCACTGACCTCGTGAGGTTCAGTGAATCCAAGTGCAAGGTCTTGCATCTGGATTATGGTAACCCCCACTATCAGTACAGGCTTGGGGATGGAAGGATAGATGGATGGATAGCCCTGCTGAAAGGGACCTGGGAGTACTGGTGAATGGCAGGCTGGACACGAGCCAGCAATGTGTCCTCTTAGCTCAGAAAGCCAACAGGATCCTGGGCTGCATCAAAAGAAGCATGGCCAGTGGGGCAAGTGAGGTGATCCTGTGCTGGTGAGACCTCATCTGAAGTTCTGTGTCCAGATGTGGAGTCCTCAGTAGAGGAAAGACATGGAGCACATTCAGAGATAAGCCACAAAAACAATTCAAGGGATGGAACACCTCCTTTATGAAGACAGACTGAGAGAGATGGGGCTTCAGCCTGGAGAAGGCTCCAAGGTGACCTAATAGTGTCTTCAGTATCTAAACAGAGGCTGTAAAAAAGAAGAGGATGGACTCTTTAGCAAGGTCTGTTGTAGTATGACAAGGGGAAATGGTTTCAAACTAAAAAAGCAGAGATTTAGACTGGATACAAGGAAAAAGTTTTTTATTATAAGAGTGGTGAAGCACTGGAACAGATTGCCCGGAGAAGCAGTGAAAGCCTCATCCCTGGAAAATTCAAGGCCAGGCCAGGCAGGGCTCTGAGCAACCTGATCTAGCTGTAGATGTCCCTGTTTGTTGCAGGAAGATTGGACTAGGTGACCTTTGAAGGTCCCTTCCAACTCAAGCAGTTCTATGACCATTTATTGTGGACAGTGTAGGGCACTTTCTGCAGATGTGCATGCAATATATAGAGAACATACAAAATCGTGCTTGTAATAAAAATGGTGTCAGGAGACTGAAAAAAAACCCAGTTAAACCAACTATAAAAAGTTCTGTAGTTAAAATTCAGGCTATTCAAACAATTCCTTTATTAAACATTTTTTATCAAAAAGCCAAAATGAAATACTTATTTTATTTTTTTTACAAACTCTGCTTTTAGTTCTAAGTGATCATACAGCTGTGAAAGACCCTAATAGAGATATTTACCTCTTTTCCCCGCTTCTGTTGGTGGACAGATGCTTTTTTCCATCTGTGTTCAGATGATAAGCATTATTAGTAGTAAGCCTTCCCTGTTTTGGTCTCAGTAGGGTTACTGCCTTTCCAATTACCCTGTCCTGCTGTTGTAAACTGATAAACTTACCACACTGCCTTCCTGCATTTCCACTAGGGAGTCCGTTACCTGTTCTAGGAAAAATAGGTTAATTAGAGGCTTTTGAGGTCAAAGAAATGGCCTTGATTTGGGAAATGAAGGAAAAAACTGTCTTTCATGCTATCATTTTTCTTGACATTACAATGAGATAATGATTTATGAGTTTTGACAGTACTTCATTAAAAATAGCTGAGCTCCTGTTATCCATTACTGTCACCTCTGATTAGTTTGCATGTGGCTACGACTGTATTCTCCCTACATAATTTATCTCCTAGAAAAAAAAAAATCACATCTGTGAATGGAAAATAGAATATAATTTTGTTTGATATTTTAACTACCCAGTTAAGGAAGACTCAGAGTTGCCAGGAGAACAAATTTTGTATGTGACAAAAAAACTCTGTCTTTCTACTTAACTAGATATAATAAGCAGAGATCGAATCGAGCTATTTGCCTATCATGGAGTTCTACACATTCTTTGGAAACATTTGGAGCTGGAGACCCCCATAGCTGGGAAACCAGATTAAACAGATGATGGGACAAATCCCACACTAAATTCATTATCGTTCGATGCAGAGGGCTCTCATGAAATTTACTGCATCCTTGCCCTTCCAGCTGGAAAACAGTTGCAGACCAGGCAAGAAGCTCAGCATGGGATTTCAGAGAAAATAAAGCACGGAACTATTTTTCTGTTAAGTGGTAAACAAGTAAATGAAAAAAATAGATGCGTGAGACATGCCTGAGTTATGATTTTCACTAGGCAGCCAGACAGATCATTTAAGGATTTATAACCTTGTCACCTATTTTAGTGTGAAATTCAGATGATTGCTGCACAACCATTACAGGCCTCATGCAGCACCAAAGGGTGGCACTGTAATGACAGCCACACGCCAATTCAAAGGACTCTCAATAAATCCACGCAGCTTAATGTGCACTGAAGAAAGCTGAATTCAGATTGCTGCGTTCTACTGAATGTAAGTAAGAGGTCATTGGCAAACATTGACAGGAGTCATGGAATCATGGAATGGCTTGGGTTGGAAGGGACCCTAAGGCTCATCATGTCCCAACCCCCATACCTCTGGAAGGGCTGCCAGCCTCTAGGTCACATACTAGAGCAGTTTGTCCAGGGCTCACCCAACCTGGCCTTGAATACCTCCAGGGATGGGGCATCCACAGCCTCTGTGGCAGCCTGTTCCAGCCCCTCACCACTCTCAGTAAAGAACTTCCCTGACATCTCATCTAAATCTCCCTTCCTTTTGTTTAAAACCATTCCCCATTTCCTATCACTATCTACCAGTGTAAAGCACAAATGAGGAGCAAGTTTTTAGGTGGAATGATGATTTCTATTTCTCAAAGAAGACAAAAGTACTACGTCAAGTGTCTTTGAAAAATAAAAGTTCTTGGACTTGATTTTTTTCTATCTGTTTATTAAGAAAAAATCTTTTTACATAGAAAAGATACAGAGGAAGGTAAACAAAGGCAGTAGAATTCATTATCTCATGTAATAGCTGTACAACTAGATCTTAATGACAAAAGTTGAAGAAAACCTAAGTAATATAAAAAGCCACCTCCAAAATGAGACTTTGACAGTGAGAACGAGACACAAAAAAGAACACTGAGTAGTTTGTGCAATCAAGCTTGTTAGTACGTGAGAAAGACAGCCATTAAATCACAGGAGGCCTTATGCCAAAGGATATTCCTGTCTTAGTATTATGCCTTCCACTGGGAAAGGCAATAAATTAAATTATTTAATACAACTCAGTATGCAGTCTGCCCTGCAATTTATTATGTACGTTCTAATTTTCCAAGCTGGAAAGCCTTTCACATTTTGCTTGAAAAGAAAATCTGTCAAGATGGCTACTTTGTTTTTCACAAATCTGTTATTAAACCTCATTTTGTCTTGTCTTCCAATGGCACTTTGTAGACTACTTTCTCACAGATCAATTGAAGGAAAATAAGATCATGAGGAATACTGAATTCCAAGTGTTGAACTGGAATTGTTGCACTTTGATCTGTGACAGCCTTGGCTGATGTTTGCAGAAAACCACAGAAATGTGCTGGGTGCCTTCAGGGCACCCTCCTGTAAACTGTGCAAGACCAGCAGCCCTCGGGCACAGGTGAGGAGCACCATTGGGAATTACAATGGGCTCACAAACTGGCACCGTGCAGATTAAAGATAAAAGAACGAGGACAGACACTTTAATGGCAACAGAAGACAAAGATTTATTTTTTACTGACTTCCAACTGGTGCTGGATTGTTTGAGAGACATCTAGAAAATCTGTCAGACCACCACAGATAGGACTACGTGTGCATATTCTGTCTATCTTGCTACCACACCCTCTCTTCATAAAGGCACTAACTATAAATAAAATGAAAACAGACAGTTAAAATCAGGCTAACGCCAGGAAAAAAAAAAAGGATTGCCTGTATGGAATTCTATGTTTATGTTTGTATACATTCATGCGTTCAATGCACAACTTTAAAATTAATTAAAAACATCACCTTCATTTTGGCAATACGACTGATAAAATGAAACATGCAGAAAACACCGTTAAACAGAACTCAGTGCATAATTTTGTCAGAACAGAGCAGTTCTTTATCACCCTTTATGAACTGGGAGTACATTCATATTACAAGGTAAGAAAACCTCGAAACAGACAACATCTGGCTTCTGTGTAACGTATCTGCTTTTCCACATCTTTGGATAGTGAAATCTATGTGTATTTGAACACAGGTTAAATTGTATGGTTATATTTTAACAGTCCTCGTAGTGCAGCAAGGCAAAGCACAGCTGCCAGCGTTCACTGTTCTATTTCCAGGCTATCCATTTTCAGGTCAGGTGGTTTAAAGCTCATCACTTCTTCATAGGTAAGTTCTGCAGAGAGGGGATAAGAGAGAGAGAAGAATTACATGACTTTCTCTAATTTCTCTTTATGAGAAAAATATTCCAGACAGAACTGTTAAACGCATGCGTGACTTGTAGTCTGTATTTCCAGCCTCATCAATCTACCTAGATCGAAACTCAGACTGCATTCACTAGTTCTGCTAACTTGGATACATTATTCTATTAATGTATCTGTCCCCTTCACCTAATTACTGAATCACAACTGGCCCTGAAATGGAACCATCAGTTACGCTGTCAGATGACCTTACGGTAAAAAAAGACAAAATATAATGCAAACTGGAATCTTTAAAAGCACCAGAACAGGTTTTAAGATGTGCACTTTTAACCACAAAGAATGTTCTTTATAATCTTCCGTCAATTGCCTACAACATAAATCAATAAATTGGTGCAACGATGCACCAATGCCTTTGAATCCAGGTGGTTTAGGCTTTTTTTTGTATTTTATTGCGATTAACTTAAAGATCCTCTGACTAAATGTTCTTTTTCTGTCTTACAAGCATGCAGCAATTCTACTTTCACCCAGAGAGGCCTAACTAGAAACAGATTGACTGTTTTATGCTGCTTTTGGAAGAGCCCTTTATCTTCTCATGTTATGTCATACTTCGTGCCTTGCGCGGCAATGACGCACAGCATTGGTGGCCACCTCCTATGGATTTTCTCAAGCCAGGTAATGTATTTTAAGGATCAAATCCAGTCCATACATAAATAAACGACCAAGTATGTGTTACTTCAGGATCTGACAGCTAATAAACATAAAAGTGGACTGAGCACTACTGTAAGAAGTGTGTACAAACCCTACAGTTGGGTCTTGGCTGTGCTCCAGTTGCGCAGCATTCAGTAGCACAGCACATCCAATGAGCTTTGCTAACAACTGAAGGATTCCCCCAGAAGAAATTCCACCTACAGAGCCCTGGGGCTGAAGGATTTGTTGGGTGACTCGGTGCTTCATCTGCAGCATCTGAAGAGCACCTGGCCACAGGCAGCCAGGTATGTCAAGGAGCTCTTGGCAGAAGTCAGTAAGGCAGGGCCTTCACGGATCAGGTGCCTGGGACTGTATTATAAATTATGCTGCTGGCTGTGCACTGCATGCTTATGAAGCTCTTTCCTGTTCTCCTGTCACCTAGTTAGCTGAAAGTACAGATGTTATGCTGAGATATGTGAAACTGGAGCAGCAGCAAAGGAGCGATAGTGCGTAGCATTCAATGCTGAATGGCATTCTCTTGGCCTCTGCATTTTGAAATATCTTCTAACTGATTAAACATGTCAGACAAAATCTATGAGCTGGGGCTGCAAACCTCAGCTGTGCAGCAGAGGTCAAGGAAACTCTTAAGTGCCCAACGTGTAACACAAAGTGTCTGAAATCTCATTTTGCTTTGGCTGCTCAGTGCCCCTTGGGATCAAGCACCACTTTTAATTTGAACAGAAAAAGAGAAATATGGCACTGATGTCTGGAGAAAAATGGGTCAATATTTCATTAACAATTCAAACATTTTATGCAAATTGTGACCTTTAGTGTCACCTTATTAAATGTACCCCACATGGTACGTGAAAATATTTACTTTCCCAAGCTAAAAATGTGGCCAGGAGGAAGAGCTGCACGTTCCATGCCAGTATAGTTTTGAAATGGTTTTCTCCTGTATAAAGAAGGAATTTCATCTGTAGTTCTCAAAGCACAACGATGTAAAAGAATATGGTACTGCTGCAGGATACGCTGCCCTTCCTACAGAATTCACCTCCAATTCATCAGTTCAGAGTCAAGCTAAGACTGTTCTTAAGTTGTTTTACAAAGTTCCATCACAAACAGAAATCAGCTTTAATGAATTGCAAACTGTTAAACTTTCCTGTTAAGAACTCTGTCAGCTTAACAAGCAGCAGAAAGCAAATCCATTGGTAAAGAAAACCGAACACACCTCCTCACTGCCAGATTTTGCATATAGAGCATGGATAAGGAGCAAATGATGCCACTCGATCCTCATTTTTTCTACAGACCCTCCAGGACTCTAGAAAGCCTTTTCAGGACTCTAGGAGGCTGCTTTATTGTACAGAGATCCACAAACCATTTCCTATCTTTCTCTGAGGTGTCACAGAATCACAGAATGGCCAGGGTTGGTAGGGACCTCAAGGATCATGAAGCTCCAACCCCCCCCTGCCACATGCAGGGCCACCAACCTCCCCCGTTAATACCAGACCAGGCTGCTCAGGGCCCCCATCCAATCTGGCCTTGAACACCTCAAGGGACGGGGCATCCACAGCCTCTCTGGGCAGCCTGAAGGTGTGTTTGTTTTAGTCAACCTCCTCAACGCCCAGGATAAAATGTGGCACAAAATGCAGAAAGTCAGTGCAAGGACATGAGGAAGGTACAGGAGATCAGTAATGTTCACCATAAAATAAGCTACTAGGCTCATATATTTTATTAAACTTTTCTGGAGAAAAATTTATAGAATATATAAATAGAAACAGGAAAGCAATTATTTCATAGATTATGTACTGATGAACTTAAGCCAAGGAGAGGGCTTTATTAATAAACTGGAAGAATTAGTTTTCTAGAACATTTCTCAATTTAAAACATTCAGTAAGGATGCTTTAGCATAATATATCCTCATCAGACATTGATGAAATTGGATTGTGCTTTTTAGCATACTTGCAAACTTATTGTTTAGCCACATTATTTCTGTGATGCTATACTGCAATATGATCATGATGCAAGCAGGAAATTAACTACTGAAAAAAGACTGTTGCAGTATTCCTCAAGAATGGGTTTGGGTTTTGTCACTCCAAAGTAAGATGAGCTGCTCACAGTTTGAACAGGATCAACAGCATGCTTTATCTATTCCCAATTAGCTGGCTATACCAAGAAGGATTATTAAAATACACACGTACATAGACATTTTTCATTTCTGGTTCTGAAGAAAGCAAGGCCAGAATCCCAAATAGCATCAGCTACTACAAGACTGTTACTTCAGCTGAGGATCTGGCCTAGCAGATTAAAAGGAAGATGAAATGAGTGGTTGCACAGTAAGTAGTGTCACCTTTTAGCTAAGATTAAACTTGCTATAGGAAACCTAGTCAGGAGTTGTTAGAGGCATAATGGGGAAAGGGAGCAAAATCCAGAGAGAAACTACCAACCCTTCCACCCCTCTACTCACAGGAACACACATGGACTGTCCTTGCACCCCTGAAGTTTAAGAGTTAAAACTGCTCTGGTTAGAAACAGAGCAAAACTGTTTCTGAAGTCAGGTTTTGTTCTGCTGACCACGTTAACACCTGTGTGCAGTTATCTGTTACCTTTCCATTCTTCTATGGTTCGCTCTTTATTCTCTATTGACTCATCATAGAGCTCAGCCTCAGGTTCGTCATCCGGATCGTGATACTGTACAAAGTATGGGTGTGCAAGGGCTGCCGAGGCAGTAATTCTTTTGTCACTGTCCAGTATCAGCATCTTCTCAAGAAGGTCTACCGCTACGGGAACAAGAGAAACTAGGATCAAAACCAGAAGGGACCATC